CTGCTAAGGAATTGTTCCTGCCTGTCAAATGTACAGCCACTGGACAAATGTGGCGAGCATAATACCATTCTGAAAGGTTGATGGCGTGAAGGAGAAGGCGTAACGAGTGAGTGCTGCCCTGCTTGTTTATATAATGAACTGCAGTGGCACTGTCTTATGCGACCTGGACCATGGAGTAGGCGCTCGAAGGTTCAAAAGGCCTTAGTGATTGCCAGGAGCTCCAGCACGTCGATATGGAGGCTGGCTTCTATTGTGGGCCAGCGGCCGTTGACATCGTGGTGGCGTAGACAAGCCCCCCAGCCTGAAGGGCTGGCATCCTCAGTTAATTGTGAATTATCGGGGACAAGAGACCAAAGGGTCTCCCTATCTGTAGGTTGGGGGTCATCTCCACCTGTCCGGTTGTGCAGCAATTACTGGTGTAACCTGGAGCAATGCGGATGGGTGGTCACAAGATGTCTGAAAGAGAGAGACCAGGCTTGAAGGGACTGCATCTTCAGTCGAACATGCTGTACCACAGGTGTGGTAGATGCCATCGGCCCCAGAAGTCACTGGACCTGTAGGCAGAGATCCAAGCGCCTGAAGAAAAGGAGCATAACCACCAAACTTTTTCACAATCTTGTTGTCAGGGAGAAAAGCTTGCCCCAAGAAAGCGTCCAAAGTCGCACCAATCTAATTTACACGTTGTGTAGGTTGCAAAGTTGACTTCTCTATATTGACCCTTAGTCCTGATGCTGACAAAAAAGACAGTGCCAAGGACATGTATTTACAAGCTTGTGATCTGGACACAGCGACCAGGAGCCAGTTATTCAAATACAAGTAAACAGTGATTCCTCCAACTGAAAACCTGAGAAAGTGTTGATGGTCTGAGTGGATGCTAGCATGAAAATAAGCATCTTTCAGGTCAATCACAGTTAACCAATCCCCTGGATGTAATATGTGAATAACAGAGTCCAGAGAAACCATACGGAATCTTCGTGGAGTAATGAAAGAATTCAGGCCTCTAAGGTCAAGGATGGGCTAGAGGCCTCCATCCTTTTTGGGGATGGTGCAAAAGAAAAGGCTTCAGGAGTTAACCTCGAGGCAAAATCCAGAGTCCCGGAGGCAGTTTGTGTCATTCTGCCAACTCCTGCGATGGCACTGGAACCAATTGTATTGGCTCTTGCCTTTCCATTGGACTATTTCAGCGACGTGAAGAGGGAGGATTTGCTGCTTGGGTAACAGCCTATCCTCCATATTATTTTACCCAGGCTTCGTGCTCTGGAGGACACTCCAGCTTTGCATACAGTGTCAAAACAACACGGAAAGGGACTGCCACTCTCGAATTGGCCTTCTCAGCCACACTATACGCTGTTCCAAGTCCTCCATACAGAGCATGTTACCATAGTCTCTTGAAACTGAAGGATGCCTAACAAAGGAAAATGGCATCTTTTCCTAACAGGGCCTGAATTTCATCTTCCAAAGGGGGAGAGGGGGGTGGCCTTAAAGTGGCCTGTGACGGGGTATATCGTCATATGTCATAGCTGGTAGCTATGCAATGTCATAGCCGGTGGCTATGATAGTACCCAAGTGTCAGATGTGAAGGAACACCAATTGGAAAGACTAGGGGTGAAACGGACTGACTGGTCAACGACAGAGAAGTCAGGTGCATAAAGAGACTGCTTGGTTTTGCGGTCCTGCCTGCAATTTTGTTGGCCAGGGCCCTGTCTGCCCACTTGCCTAGAGGGTGGGGCTTTTGACATTCCTGGGATGCGCTAGGCTGGTAGCTACACGAAGGACAAAGGAGACCAGAGATAAAAATCGCCGATCAAAGATGTCCAATTTACGACCTTCCTTATCGGAAGGAGAATCATTTGAGCTATTCCGAGCTTATATAAAATCTCGACCCTCTTTGAGATTTGATAAGTAGAGGGCGTAGCCCAAACATCCTTCATAAGTTCAGAAAAGGAAGGGATGAATCCAAGACGAACGGGTGGAGTCTGATCCTGTGCAATGTCTTGAAACACCTTATCTGTCTTCTTTGACATGGGTGTAGGAAGATTGGTTGGAACATCTTCCTCCCCTTCTGACTCTTCTGAATCCCAATCCGAACAAGGTAAGTCCTCCTGACGATTTGGGAAGAAGTCTTCCTCGGTGTGAACCCGACCAAGATCAGTCTCAAGATCAGCTGCCGGGTCGGAGAAGGCTGAATGGGTTAACTGCAGGTTCAGTCAAACCTGTGGCTGCTTTGCTCCCGCTGCCAGAGCAGAATTCGAAGGAGCACTATTCCTTCGAGGTGTCGGTGGAGGCACATAGCGTTCCTCGGCTCGTGGCTAAAAACGGTGCCAGGTAGAGTGGGGAGGCGGTGGCAGCAGAAAGGGTAGCGGGTAAGGTTTATAGCTTCAATACCAAAAATATGGGTCTGGATAATAGGGTGCTGGATAAAAAGACGGGTCCCACTCGAACTTGTCAGCGTGGTAGAGCCCCATTGATGAGCAGGAAAAACCACTCGGGTCTGCCTGACAGCCATAGGGTTCCTGCATTTGGGTCAGCACCCATGAGTCTTTTTCCTATCAGCCTCCACTGGTGTTGGCGGCTGAGGTGAGACAGCAGGCTGCTGTGTGAACGAGCCCATTGATGAATGGGGGCTGTTCTGCACCAATTCACCAACCTCCAAAGAGGTGTTACCCCAGTCAGGAATATCACTGATAGGTGGGGATGGTGGTGGGAGCTGCAGGGAGCCGTTTCTTCTCCCAAGGGCAAAACTAGGGCTACTGTATGCTGCCGGGATGTCTCCAGTCTCGGCGCCCAGCTCTCTGCACTTAGCAGTCTCAGACACCTTCTTCTTCTTCTTTGAACCCAAAGAAAGATTGCAAAGAGGTGGGTGCAGCTGTTGTTGCTCTGGAGCCTGTTGCCTTGGCTTTGGAAGCAGCTTTCCCCCCCTTATGGAACGATTGTTAAGAAGGCAAAAGAAACTTTTCTCAGAGAAGAAACAACTTGTTTAAATGAACCTCTTAAAGAGGCTTGGAGAGACCAGAAACCTCTAACTGAGGCTAATTAGCAATTATCTGTTTGTTCATGCAGGTTACTCACAGTTACTGAAGAAAGATCAAGCCAGGGAGGTCAAGAGAAGGGAAAGGTAAGGATTATAATTATTTTTTACATGTGAAGTTCCTAAGGAAGCTGCTATAGCAGCAGACGAAAAAGGAACTGAGGCACTGGGTGCCAGGGGTGGTGATATAGCCTACGTGGGAGGTCCCGATACCAAGTGCTTAAAGCTATAGAAGCTTCCAAGACTGCTCTGCTCAGGCACAGATTAACCCATTAGTGTATATTCACAGAGACCACGAAGGAGAAGAAATTAATCTGGCAGTCCTGTTTACTGCTGCAGGGGAAAAATCTGTTGGTACTGCTGCATCTAGAGCTCTGATATTGTATTGGGGGAATACCCACGTTGTTTTGTCTCAAAATTCTCCATAATTCTACTACCATCAGAGCACCACCAGCAGATCAGTAACAGTGGCAGGGCTTTTTGCTGCTGCACTGAAGAGACCTCTGGCAAGAGATTTCCCTCTCTGGCACCAGAGTGTGTAGTAGTTCTTTTGTATCCATTCCGAACAAAAAAACCTTTAACATCAGTAATGAAAAACATTTGGGCCTCTTGCATGAATACTGTAGGGCATCTTTCAGGATTATGTTAAATGAAATGTACGTAAATAGATGCACGTACACATTTTACTGCCTTTATTTCTACTTAATATGATACTTATAAGAATATATACTGTATTTTTCGCTCCATAAGACGCACCTCTCCATAAGATGCACCAAATTTTTAGGAGAAGAAAACAGGAAAAAATAATCTG